GTTAAAGACTAAACTTCAGACAGAAAGGCCCACAAACTAACCTCTGCAGTGAAGAACTGGCAGAGCACTAAAAGGGAGGAAACACAGTGTCTGGTGATGTCCAGGAGGTCAAGACTTCAGCCAGTCATTGACAACAAAGGCTTTTCAACCAAGTACTAGAAATGAACATTTTATTTACAATTATTTAATCTGTCCAATTACTTTTGAGCCTCTGAAATGAAGGGATTGTGTTTAAAAGATTCTTTAGTTCCTCACATTTTTATGCAATCATTTTGTTCAACCCACTGAATTAAATTTGAAAGTCTGAACTTCAACTGCATCTGAATTGTTTTGTTTAAAATTCATTGTGGTAATGTCTAGAACCAAAATTTAAAAAAATGTCTCTCTTCAAATATATATGGACCTAACTGTAAATTCACCAGAAAACCTTATGTTGCTTTTACTGTAGACAGCACTCCAAAAAATATCATGTTTCAATATTTTTTGAGTGTTGGTTATGCCATTTTTATGATTCTTCAGAACCGGGCACCAATTTACTCTTTCCCCTTTTTTGTAAGAAAACTGGAGTTGTGCGCACCATTTTTTCTTATTTATTTCCTCTAGACAGCACAAAAAACTAAACTTTTTGTTTTCTTTCAAAGAAAAACCAGGAGAGAACTAAAGTCAAGACACTCTTAGCACAGCTCATCTGTTTGGGAGACCTCCTGAGTCACTGTCAGCCCCCCACCTGAGGGAGGAGGCCCAGTTCCCCGGCCGTCACCTGTGCAGGTCGCTATGAGCTCCAGAGGGAGCAGCGGCCGCTCCAACGGCACGCTACCACAGACCAAGATCTGCCAGTTCAAGCTGGTGCTGCTGGGGGACATGGCTGTGGGCAAGTCCAGCTTGGTCCTGCGCTTCGTCAAAGGACAGTTCGATGAGTTCCAGGAGACGACCATAGGAGGTGAGGCCATCCGATGCTGATCAGGGAAATGGTGGAACAGTAAGGAGAYATCTGCTGACCTGTTGCTCTCTTCCACTCGCAGCTGCGTTCTTGGCTCAGTCGGTGTGTTTAGATGATACCACGGTGAAGTTTGAGATCTGGGACACTGCGGGACAGGAGCGGTACCACAGCCTGGCTCCCATGTATTATCGTGGAGCGCAGGCTGCTATTGTTGTCTTTGACATCACTAAGCCGGTACCTTAACAACACAGTAAATCACTGCTTCATGGACACACATGTTCCTAGACTGAGACTGATGCCAAACTGTCAGAGATGATTTAGCTGAACTAAATCAGTTTACCAAATGACATTATCAGTTTATTAATGTTGATGAAAACAAAATTTAGCCTGTTTGGTATTAAAGCTAGCATCGTAAGCTATCCTTACATTAATGTAGTGTTCATGTACTGTATGTAGTAAACAYGGTGTTTGTGCAGGAAACATTTGAAAGAGCCAAGGCCTGGGTGAAGGAGCTCCAGAGACAGGCCAGTCCTAACATTGTTATTGCCCTGTCTGGAAACAAGGCTGACCTGGCAGAGAAGAGACTGGTAGAGTATGAGGTAACACACTCCTCATTGCCTAAACTGTGACCTTACACACCCCACCTGGAACTTATTCATTTGTTGACAGCTAGGTTTCACTTTCACCCGAGAGCCTGCGGGAGTCATGG